TWRAAWGTCAGCTAATCGCTGTCCCTCGTGACCTAATGGAGTTCTCTCTCCGASTGAAAGCTGTTTTATTCTTAGAATACAAACTCATTAATATTCAAASCCTCGCAGCTGCAATAGCAGAAGAAAAAAAGTACATATATAAATATAACTTGTTTCGAAAGCTTTAAGAAACACTGTTATTTCAATAAGGATGCGACTGCCTTATTGATTTAAATCTGTCAAATTTCAAATGTTAAATCATTTTCTCTTCACACCGTACCATYAAGGCGTAAAAAAAGGTGTGAATAGGGGTGGGGTGGGGTGATTATTTGGTCATCAAAAAACAACCTGTTTCTTATTYCGATACATTTTCATCGCGCTATAAATATTTTCGATTTTGCCAAGAAAAGACATCGTTTCCTTGTGGCGGAATTGTGTAGGTGATGCTATCAAAGAAAAACAAGAAGAGATATTTACCGATGTCTCTCGGTTACCTAGGAGATTAGTCTTCATGTGACTGATCTTTATCTAAATATCGCTTGGCCATTGCGATTGACTTCTTTTGTTCGTGATCGATTAATCATCCTGTAKGTCRAAATACTGAAATGCAGTTCAACACGCTATTAAGAGGAGTAAATGCGCGTYCGCCAAAAAAATTAGTATTGGACTATTAGCGCCATAGGCGAACTGACAATCATTCAGTTATTTATATTCTTAATAAATTGATTTTAATCTATCTATTTTGGTGTCTAAATYAGGATACATTTAAAACGAAAAGATATGATATGATACAGCAGCTGGAAAGAAAAATTGAGAAAAGAAGAGATTGAAATAAAAATGTGAAAAAAGACGGTGGCAAGGCCGGGAGATTCATAGGGCATCACTGGCATCTTTTAGAAGCAGTCTAAATTTTTTCTTCTATTGTTTACGTAAAGCTGTATTATAATGATATTCTTGAATTGTAAAAAAACTAAAGAAACAAGAAATTTGTGAATAAAAATTGATGTGAGCTGAATGACGCGCCTTTAGAATCGCCGTTTTCTTTAGCACTAGATGCACGAGTTAGAAAGGCTATACAACATGTTTTACTTCATCATCATGTCTTATATAAATATCATTAGTCGAAACTAAAAGTCATTTCTGCTCAGCCAAGTTTTCAAATCCCCTTCAGAGCAAAAATATATATGAAAACCTGTCAAATATTTGCCTTGTTATATACATAAAAAATGACAGGCATATAATGAAATACTCGCCGTTATTGCTAACAAGTATATGTTTTTCAGAACAAGTTTTTTATTTGCTATATAGTTTTCTCGGCCTTCCCTTTTAGATCTTTCAGACAACTGAAGTGTACTATGGTTTACTACTTAAGTCGCGCGCGACAAATCGTATCGTGTAAATCAGCCTTTTAAAGTGTACTATGGTTTACTACAATGTAATACAGTTTCTAATTACAGTTGCACCATTATCCCTCAAATTAAACCTGGCAAATTAGACATCGGACTCAACTAATCACTGAAAATGGTAGCATGCTGATTTGTAATCAGTCTAAAATAGCAACCGACATGTTTTTCTTCCACCAATTTACCTTCCCGCCTACACCTTTTTCCAAGCTGCGAAATGGAAACCGCCTTGTACGTGCRCGCAACGATTACCCCTGCAAAGCGTACTCCATAYAGTTTACAATCTAGAGAGGAAGTACACAGAGAATAAGACGTTGCGGAGCCTCTTTCTCAGGCATCCTAGTCGCCTGAAAAATYTCTGCGCAAGGTGGCTRMMMCYTTTTTKRWTYMARKTTGTAGCCTGCTGCTCAGTCAATTCCCTTGCCTTACCCTGCACCTTGTAATAATATAAAAACTCAATAGAGGCAATGTTAAAAATGTGTCTTTTAATAGTAATTGAAATAATTGAAGCTGATATTCAAAAAATATATATAGCCCAAAATATTAGKTATGCAAATATTTTGATCCAAAGGACATTATATACAACAATAAAATACAAACAAAACAGTGTTATAAATAATACTATTGAGCGTAATGAGTTCTGAATCTAAATATTTTAGAAGATGTTGAAAATCTGAAATTGTCTCAGAAAACCTATCAACTCAAATATAAATTTTCAAATAAACATTACAAGTTGCTCTGGTAAGAACAAAATTGTTTGAGAAAATCCAGGTCAAGAACTTTCAAAATCTCAAGCTGTTTTGTAGTCTGAATGGTTAGGCATCAATATCATAGAAAATCTACTGTTCTCTGTCACTATATCTTCTGTACCCATATAAACTAAATTAAGTACTGCCATGTGTAAAAAATTAGCCTGATAAACTACATCTTTTGAAATAGAAAGTAGAAAAAGTTTGAACCAGTATGACAAATTTGAGGATCAAAATAACATCTAAGATATATGACTGACATAATGTGTTATAAAGAAAAATTAACTATRTACTAGGTCGAAGAGGGACTAATATACAAGTGTACAAAATATATACTACTCTATATCAAGTATCTCCTGTCATGATAGCAAGGAATTCTTCTTCATTTACTGGAATGGAAATTCAAAAGCAAAACCTTAGAATTACAAAAACAAAAACAACAACATAATACAACTATATCACAAACTTGCAAAAAAAAAAAAACATTATCATTGCCTATAATGTAATTCTCAATGCTGATTATTGTAAAMATTTTACTTACTTTCGCCATCACCATCTTTATCAAATTCATCAATCATGGCTCTTAGCTCCTCGTCAGTCATGTTTTCTCCAAGTTCTCTTGCAACTCGTCTTAAATTTCTTATACTAATTTTTCCACTGTCATCATCGTCAAATAACCGAAAAGCTTTGAATATTTCTTCCTGAGGATCTCTGTCTAGCATCCAGTCTGTCACTGAAAATGAAGATAAATAATCAGTTAATTCTGGCCCCCGTGGATGTAAGAATTACATGTAAATGACCATGTTATGTCCCATGTTACAGGATTTTGTGCCTAGGTTCAAAACCTTGAGGCAAGTTATAGGTCACACATGTCTAGTAATAGAGCCATAAACACAATACAATGTTCTTGTATCATCTTGTAAAYACCTTAAAAACAATTGGATACACTTACTGACTTCATTGAAATCATCAAATGATATTTTTCCTGTTGATTCTCTATCATAATCTTTCATTATCTTCAAGACATCAGCTTTTTTGACCTCAAACCCTAGTGCTCTCATAGCAACCTGAATAATAATAATATATATCACTTAAATTTAAGTTGGCTGGAAAGGTGTTTTTGGTTTAGTTTGTTTTCATTGATTAGTTGAGAAAAATGAACAAGAACCAGAGATGCTTTGGTTGTTGCCAAGCTCTATCTATACTATTTCCCTGTGGCATCTCTTTTGTAGCCATGATATATGTATCATCATTATATAGTGAATGTATATCAGGGCTTTAAGGCATTATTCAAGTGTCTGGTTCTTTATTACCAACTGCATTGGAGTGTTGGTCAATAAAAAAGGAAGAAAAACAACAAAAGCAACCATTACAAAAACACATGACAAGGCATTGCCATTCCTTTGAAATGCATTTTCAAAATCTTTTTACTTGGTTCATATGGGAAATAGCTATTTAACTGATTAGCCATGACAACAATTATATCAGCTGTTGATAAGAATGAAGAGTTTCAGACCCAAAAATTTACTGCCAATCTAAATCAGGAAGTTTTGCTATGAACATTTGTACAAACCAAGGTTATCATCCATGAAATGTACTGTTTAATCAGCTGAAGCTTGTCAATATACACTTGTTGTTGCCCCAACAACTAAGAAATCCTAGCAAACTCAACGTAATATGTATCAAAGCATATCTAATCCTAAGTTAGCAGAGGATTCATGAAATTATCGATTAATTGGTAGAARCATCCTAATCCAAACGTAATCCTGGTTCTTGCAAATGTAAAGGAGGGCAAGAAGGTGGGTAATTAAGTCAGCAAATACATTTAGGGAGACCTCTGTCTTAGAGCAAACACCCTACTTTAGCAACAAAAGAAAACTCTGCCAAGGAATTCCATGMCTGAGTTTTCTTTACATATTCCTGGCTCAATATTKCAGAGGTGTTTTTGTTAATTTTGGTGGAATTGAGAAGATGTGCAATTTGTGGATTATTTGCTAAACACTGGTGTTGAGAAGAGGTGATGTCAAAAAGGATTATAACGTCGAGTTGTATCATGCTTCATAGCAAACACCCAAACTAATTTACTCAATATCAAGTTAGTAATACAATTGACATCCCTAAAATGACTTCTCATACGCACTATGCGAAGCATCAACAATTGAATGATGCAAGGATCAATATTACAATCATGCAGCCGKCCGAAGAAGGTACTTTTCAGGGTCCCTGGAGAGAGACTATTTTATCGAAACAAAAGAAGACAAATGACCCATTATCAAACGACAACAAAAAGTAATTTGCGCTTGGAATTCTATTTTGAGTAGTGCACATGATATTCTTTACAATTAACACACTTAGAGTAACCTTACTTTCAGTTCGTGGTAATCGATGGCTTGATCTTTATCGGTATCAAACAGGTTGAATGCCTCTTTGATTTCTTGCTTTTGTTCTTCTCCGAGCTCCCTTCTCTTCCCTTTTGCACCCCGACTCTTGCCGTAATCGGGTGTCTTGAACGTCAAACTCATTTCAAATCTTGTAAGCAAGTACAATTGATGCTAACTTGTCAAAATGTCGAGAAGCGAAGGCTTTGATCGAGTTTCTTGATATTTCAAAGTTGTTGTCAACCCACTTGTCT